GGATGGATGGATGGATGGATGGATGGATGGATGGATGGATGGATGGAAGAACTTGAGACGAGAGAAAAAATATATTCAGATACATATCTAGATCTAGGTAAAGATGATAAGAGATCTAGAGGGATAAATGATAGGTAAGTGGGTGAGTGGGTGAATGGAGAAAGAAAATAGAGATGATTAGATGATGGGTGGATAGATGGATGGATGGGTAGATAGATAGAGATAGAGATATATGAGATAGAGATAGATGGATGGATGATAGATAGAGATGGATGGATGGATAGAGAGAGAGATGATAAGATAGATAGAAATGGATGGGAGAGAGAGAGAGAGAAAGAGAGATGAATATGGATGGGTAGATATGGATAGAGTGGTAAGTTAAGGTAGACAGAGATGGATAGATAGGTATGAATGTAGATGGATGGATGCATCAATGGATGCATGGATGGACTGAGAAATAGAAAGACAGTGTAAGGATCTGCCTCGTCTCAATGAATAGATGTATTCATTGTTTCCATGATGCTTGGATAAACTAGAGAGTTATCAATAAATCACGAATACAATACAAGTCACCAACAATCAAGGAAGATGCTTAAGAAGACCTTCCATGGTTGGGATTTAATGGGGGGAACTGGTCCATTCGGGCCTTTGGGCTTCTCTGTCTCAACACACTCCTGATCGGAGCTACGCTTAGAAGAAGACCTGCCTTGTATTTTCTCAGATGGGCTACGTCAGGGAGTACATCCTCTGGGCAGCTGCCAAGTCCCAGCTACTGGCTCACCAGTTCATTTGGAATATGAAGACCAACATCTACCTGGATGAAGAGGGACACCAGAAAGACCGTGAGTGGACCATGCTTGGGGATCTCGCGCTACCTTCCTCCTCCGTCCTCTTCCATTCCACAAAGCCCACTCCCTTCTAGCACTGATGATGCTACCTAGTTGAGCCATGAAATGTCTGCAAGATCAAGTTCAGAGACCACTAACCCCAGTCTTCCCCCTCCTCTTCCTCCCACCTTTCTCCTCCGTCCTCTTCCACTCCACAAAGCCCACTGCCTTCTAGCACTGATGATCCTACCTAGTTGAGCCGTGAAATGTCTGCAAGAAGATCAAGTTCAAAGACCACTAATCCTGCAGTCTTCCTCCTCCTCCTCCTCCTCCTCCTCCTCCTCCTCCTCCTCCTCCTGTTCCATTCCACAAAGCCCACTCTCTTCTAACACCAATGATGCTACCTAGTTGGGACACAAAACATCCGCCAGAAAACCCCTCAAGCTCCGAGAGCCCCAAGGACCCCACAAACTTCACTCTCCTCCTCCTCTTCCTCCTCCTCCTTCTGCTTCCTCGTTGATGTAGCTGACATTGGGGAACTGTTGGAGCAGCTCGTGGAGGAAATAACCGGCTCGTTGTCTGGTCCAGCCAAGGAGTTTTACCAACGGGAGTTTGACTTCTTCAACAAAATCACCAACGTTTCTGCCATCATCAAGTGAGTACAAAGGCAGAGGCATTTAAAAAAAAAAAAAAAACAACCCTTAATTCTTTCCTTGCAGTGAAATGGACCTAATAAACAAAACCCAACTTGCGTCGCGGGACAGAATTCATAATTCAAATATTCCCAATATGTTTTTTTTTTCCACTGCCTCTCCAGGCCATATCCTAAAGGCGAAGAGCGGAAAAAGGCTTGTCTGAACGCTTTATCTGAAGTAAAAGTGCAACCAGGTAAGAAATTGACGTGTACAGGGAGTCCAGAATTCCTGTTGCTAAGGGAGACAGGAGTTCAGTGGGTTTTGCCCCGTTTTAACGGCGTTTCCTGCCAAAGTGGTTAAGCAAATTACTCCCGTTGTTAAAAGAGCAAGGCAGTTGTTAAGTGAATCTGGCTTCCCCATTGACTTTGCTTGTCAGAAGGTCGCAACAGGAAATCATGTGACCCCAGGACACAGAGACCGTCATAAATGTGAATCGGTTGCCAAGCATTTGAATTTGGATCACAGGGATGCTGCTGCAACAGTGGGGAAAGTGGGAAAAATAGCAGTAGACTTATATTTCACTTCATAATGCTTTCTAGCCCTCTCTAAGCGGTTTACAGAGTCAGCCAATTGCCCCCAACAATCTGGGTCCTCATTTGACCCACCTCAGAAGGATGGAAGGCTGAGTCATCCTTGAGCCGTACAAAATCGAACTGCTGGCAGTGGGCAGAATTAGTCTGCAATACTGCATTCTAATTGGAAGGAAGGAAGGAAGGAAGGAAGGAAGGAAGGAAGGAAGGAAAGGAAGGAAGGAAGGAAGGAAGGAAGGGGAAGGGGAAGGGAAGGGA